ACATGTTGGTTGATGCGAAAAAGGAGAGATGCTTGGCCTTTGCCAATAACAACCCTGAAATTGTCCTTCCAGATAATTTAGAATTAGATCATGATGATTTGGTTGGGACACCTTTGGATGATTACTCACTCAAGCCAGTGGGCACTGCTGATGCCTTGAGGAGAACTCCAAATGTCTTAACTAAAGCTAGGCCTTGTGGCCTATCTCATCCTTTCAAAGTTGCTTAAATATGATAGGTCTCATTTGGAATATTAGAGGGCTTGGTCAACCTGGTAAAGTTATGTGCCTTTGTGACACCATTCCTAGAGCTAACCCTGATTTTATTAGGTTTCAAGAAACTAAGAGAGAGGTTATTTCTGAGGGTTTCCTCAAAGCTATAGATAGGAGTGGTAGTTTTGACTGGCATTACTTACCTGTTGTTAACACTGCTGGTGGGATCCTTTTGGGTCTTAGAAAAAGCTTGTTTGAAACTATTGGTTTTGTTAACCATGAATTCTCAGTTACAGCCACAGTTAAAAACAAAGAGGATGGTTTTGCTTGGCACCTGGTGATAGTGTATGGCTCTTCTTATCCAGAGTTCAAGGTGGATTTTGTGGCTGAACTGCACAATATTATTGAGCCTGTATCATATCCTATTTTGATATGTGGAGACTTCAACCTAGTTAGGAATGAGAGTGAGAAGAGTAGTGGGCCAGTTAATCATCATACCACTTTCATGTTTAATGATTGGATTAATAGGTGGGGGCTTTTGGAGATTTCTATCTCCAATAAGGGTTTTACATGGTCTAACAATCAGGATAATCCTGTTTTTGCTGTGCTGGATAGAGTTTTTACCTCTATGGATTGGGATGCCCACTTCCCAATGTCCTCCCTAACTGCCCTTCCTAGAGTAGGGAGTGACCATGCCCCCTTGGTGTTGGACACTGGGGGGCGGCGGTCCTTGAGCCCTAAGATGTTCAGGTTAGTTGGGTGCTTAGCACCTTAAAGCATGGGACATTCCAAGTTAGGATTAATGACACTAATGAGCCACACTTTGTTGATAGGAAAGGGCTGAAACAAGGTGACCCTCACTCCCCATTGCTTTTTAACCTGGTTGGTGATGTTTTTTCAAAAATGCTAGTGAAAGCTGTTAATTATGGATTGATTGGTGGGCTTCTCCCACATGCCATCCCTGGCGGAGTAGTTAGTTTACAATATGCTGATGATACCATTCTATTCATCCAGGAGTTTGTGGAATGTGCAAAAAAATTGAAATGGATCCTGACCTGTTTTGAAAAGCTTTCTGGCTTAAAAATCAACTTTCATAAAAGTGATTTGCATACCATTCATGTTTCTGAGCAAATGTCTAGAGAGTTTGCTCAAATTTTTTGCTGCCAATTTGGTGACTTTCCCTTCAAGTATCTTGGTGTGCCTCTGCACTTTAAAAATTTGAGAAGGGAAGACTTGCAACCTATCATTGATAGGATTATTAAAAACATTACTGGTTGGCTAGGCAGGCTTTTATCTTATAGAGGCAAACTGATTCTACTGACTACTTGTATTGCTAGCATTCCCTCATATCTCATGGCTATGATGAAATTCCCAAAGTGGGCTATTGACATGATTACTTCCCAAATGTCTCATTTCTTTTGGGGCAATGTGGGTGAGGTTCACAAATACCATCTAGCTAATTGGGGCCTTGTGGCTAAAAGGAAGGAATTTGGTGGCTTGGGTGTCCCCAACCTTAGGGAGTTCAATATGGCTCTCCTGGCCTCATGGGGTAAAAGATTCTATGATGGGAGGGAGGGAGATTGGAAAAAACTTCTCTGCTTTAAATATGCTACTGATAAACCTAATATTTTTTATGCTAAACCTGCCTTGGGATCTCCTTTTTGGAAAAGCATCTCCTGGGCTTTTGCTGCTGCCAGAAACTTTTGGAGATGGAATCCTGGGAATGGGAATAACATTGCCTTTTGGCATGATAACTGGGTTGGAGGATGCTCCCTGAAAACTGCTTTTTGGGATTTATATGATATATGTCATCAGCAGGATGCTACTTTATCCCAGGTGTGGGATGGGGTGCACCTGTGTCTCACCTTCAGGAGATGTGTGGATGAGGTTATGATACACAAATGGGACTTATTAGTTGACTTGGTTAAACAAATTACCCTTTCTGATCAACAAGACAACCCTATCTGGGGCCTAGAATCAAATGGTCAATATTCTGTTAAGTTGTTTTATAAGCTGATTAACTTTGGTGGGATACCTTCTGAGATTAGAGATTTTATTTGGAAAATAAAAGTCCCTCCAAATATACATGTCTTCTTATGGCTGATGTATAACAACAAGAGCTTGACTAGAGACAATTTGGCCAAAAGAAGACATGTAGAGGATAAAACTTGTGTTTTCTGTAACGAACCTGAATCTATCCAACACCTTTTGTTTGATTGCATTGTTGCATCTAATATCTGGGTTGTGGTTGCTGAAGCACTTGACATTACCCCTCCTGTTTCTTTTATATCATTGACTTCTTTCTGGAAGAAGAAAAACAATGTGAAGCTATAAATATTGCTACATCTGCTACCTTGTGGTGCTTATGGCGTTTACGCAATGGTTTTGTTTTCCAGGGGAAAAGATGGCGAGATATATGTTGTGTGCTGGGTCAGGTGAGGGCAACAATCAGGCAGTGGAAAATCCTATCTTCAGAGGCCCAGGGTGCTCTACTTCTCCGGTGCTTAAGCCTTTTGGAGCGTCGAAGAGGGGAACTGCTTAGAATTGTTTGGGTCTAGCTAATGTAGTGAGTGACTTTCCACCTTCAATGGCTATAAAAAATGACGCTCTATTGAGAGATGTAATAGGGATGTAGCTTAAAACCCTGGTGTTTGTTCTATGGCAGCTACTTTTGGTTGTCGCCGAGAGCTGTTTAACAGTCTGGTTCTGTTCGTGGTTGCCTTGGCTTAATAAAAAGTTGGGGCGGGGGGCGACCCCTTTTTATCAAAAAAAAAAGTTGGGGTAATTATACAGGTCAATATTACAGTACATTTTTTGGCCAAACTTACCTAAAGCAGTTTTTTACAAAAGAAATGAGGCTTATGATGGCTCTAATAGAGTATTTTATCTTTATGTGCATCATGCAAGCGTCTAGAGAATTAATATATCTGACGAGATCAAAGTGAGCGGTGGCTTTCATTATGCATACTCGATAAACCAACAACATAGTCTGGAACATACGACAACAAAGATCAACACATTATGCATGGAGTACTGTGACTCTCATTTCTTTTCCTTCATGTTGGGAGACGTGTGCGTGTTGAGGTGTGACGCACCCGCTGCGTTTGACCTAAATGAGTTAGTTGTCTACCCTCCCGCATGGTGTCGCTATTGCAGCTCTGTTCCGTATCACCACGCCACTATCGCACATCAAGTGCTTGATCAAATGCTTGTGCAATTTAGATACACAAATAGTTTTTTTTTCTTTATTTTTATGGCGTGTTCAAAATATTTAGGGGAGGTTCTTAATGTCGTGTTTAGCAGATCCATATAAAACTTTCCCTAAAACCTTTAAACTAGCATACAAAGTTTATATTTGGGTCTCTCAAAATAGAAAAAACAACCTCAACCAAAACCATGCTGGATGCCCATCTAGCCATTGCGACGAAGCATCATGTGGCACAACGCAGTGGGAGCCGGATCCTCTAACTTAGAAAAGGGAAGTCACGGTGCTACAGTGCTTATCTAGTACAAAATGAAGAAGGAATGTTAAGGACTATTAGGAGGTTATTTACTTTTGGTAATTACTATAGATATAAAAATTCAAAATTAATTTTATCTCACCATGAACTTGTTTGTATGTAATTACTATGAATGTACATACTAGATTTGTAATTTAAAAATTATTTAAAGTTATTTTAGCCTTAATTGTATGAATTAACAGAAGGAAAGTCAGGGTATTATAGCTTCTCTAACATTCCTTGTGTATGTTAGAGGATCCAGTTCCAACGCAGTGGCGGGATTGCACCATCAAAGTTTTGAAAAAGTTTATGAAAAACAATAAGGTCGCCATTACAGTTACAGTACATTTTTTTTTTGGCCCACTTTACCTAAACAAGCTTTTTTACAAAATAAAGGTAGGCTTACGGCATGTATAATGATGGCATATGGATACATGTGTCTCATAACAAAAAATAATTTAGGGCACTTATATTTATTTTTTCTCCTTAATACAAGCTACCACTAGTGATCCTCATTAAAAAATAGAAAATAAAGAGTCTTATACACATGCATCTCTACTTTTCGCTACAACCTTTTCAGCTTTTGTTACTAGACCGCACTTTTTCTCTTCAAGCACCCCGCCTCTTGAAGAGGATCCCGTTTCCCTATCCGAACCTACTTTACGTCATATCCGATCCTACATGGCAGGCGAGGCAACACCTTAAGGCTATGCATTGTACACTCTGTTCAAAAATTCATCCGATTAACCAGTTAACTTGGCGATTAATCCCTACTCATAGGGGTACCGAGTAGCCGCTAAATCGAAAAATCATCCGATTAATTGATTAAATGGCCGATTAACTTGCCGATTAATCCCCTACTCGCTAGCCAACCGAGCAGCTACCAGTTAACGATTTCCTCAACAATAATTGTACATGCCCTTATTATAGCACTATTAGAGTACTATATGTGCCGCATGCAGGCGTCTAAGAAAATTAATATATCTGACGAACAGCGGTAGCTTTCATTATGCATACTCAACAAACCAACAGCATAGTCTGGAATATACGACAACAAAGACTAACACATTATGCATGGAGTACTGTAACTCTCAAAACATCAAACATGACTGGGAAACAGTGCAAGGTTCCAATTCGAAAATTTAGGCGCGCAACAAGCAAATTCAAGTAACCGTGCTTCCAGATATCATCAGCAGACTACCATTGTGTATGAAGCTCCCAGACTTGGAAGGAGGACGGCAAAAATCTCAGCCTGCAGGCAGAGCACGGCGCATTTCATGCCAGGCAGCTTCAGCGCCTCCAACCGGTGGACGAAGAGGTGGATGAGGAATTTGCAGAGGTCCTAGATCCAGGACGCCAGCGTTCAGTAGATGCAGCTGGAGCAGCACCATCCGGCTGGCGGGCAGCAGGGGGCGCCTCTTGGCGTGCGGCAGGAGCCTCCTGGCGGAAGGGGCGCGCATCGCGTGCAGGTGGAGCTTCTTGGCGGATGGGACGAGCATCGCGCACAGGAGGAGCATCTTGGCGGAGGGCAGGGCGAGGACGATCATCCCGGACCCACCGGTCTGGTTCAGCTGCCACAGCAGGCCTCTGACTGCTACTATCACCCTCACGTTTCCACTTCGGGACATACTTGCTAGGAGCGGCACCAGTTGCTGCAGCTGCTGCAGCTGGGGCTGCCGCTGCTGGTTCACGGGCTGGCGGTGCCACAGCAGCAGCAGCTGGTGCATCAGCTGTGCGCACGGGCTCTGCTCCTCTTAGGAGAGCCTCCCTTCTCTGTTTCTCCCTCTCTTCCAACTCCCTCTCCCTCTGCAGCTGCTTGGCTGCGATTGCGTCAAGCTTGAGCTTCCTCTCAGCTTCCTCCTTCTTTCTCCTCTCTTCCTCTGCAAACCAAAGAGGTGATTTCATTATTGCCAGCAATGATGATCAGCTACAATGTGTTTGCCTTGCTTCCAAATGACACAAACAACATGGAATAGTAACAAAGCAACAGCTAGTAAGATTTATTTTTTCAGCTATCCACCTACCAAGTATGAGAAATAACTACTGCACTGCAGTCAATCATCTAAGATAATGACAATTCAAACAAGTTTGAACAGTTGAGTAGAGAGCCAGAATAGACTAAAACTAAGAAATTTAGATTATTGTAGATTTGGTCTGATATCATATAAGGTTAGCCAGAAGAATAATTAAGTTGCAAAATTCCAGTTCCAGATGATGATAATAATAAAGCTCTAGTACTATGCTCAGCGAGTAGAGCAAATAGCAAAGCTAGTACAGTAATCCACTTGCCTTCACGCTTTCTAGCCTCCTGTTCCTCGCGCTCCCTTTGGATCCGCTGTTCCTCCATGTTCAGAAAATACATCAATTTGCGTACAGTCTCCCTTTCACGCTTTCTTGAAGATAGCAACTGATTAATCCTTTCTTCCCTCTCTTTCCTTAGGCTACTAAACTCAGATTCACGGCGTTGGACAATTCTTTCCTGGAAAGCATTCTGAAACAGAAAAGGGAAAATTGGTAAAGGTATGATAGACAACAAGCCAAAGTTTTGGAAAGATTAACAAGATGGAAGGTAGTCTTCTTTGAAGGAAAAAAGTACATGCTGACAAAAGCTTATAAGTTGACAATACCCTTAGAGGCAAAACTTGAAATATCATATGCTGAAAACCAAATTTGAATCTATCTATAATGGGGTTAATCAGTATCAGCAGCAGACAGGCCAGCAAATGATATCATCCAAACAAAACAAAAACAATTCAGGGTAGAAAGTGTAATCACTGAAACAACTTTACTCAGCATCCCTTGGTGGACAAATAGACTCTAAAACTAAAAGTTTGGAATGATGATTAAGAATAAGAAAAACATGACAGAATCAGCGCTGCTGAATGCAGCCGCAAGAAGGACACATACCTTATGCTCCAACAATCTAGAAAGCCTATTTTTCTCCTGCAAGTCACCCGCATGGTGTTGCTTGCTGAGCTCAATCTCTCTCTGCCAAGTAGAAAAACATAATAAATGTGAGCATGAGAACAACTATCAGAATCTACATCTTGTAAACAACAAAATAACAGTGAAGACAAACCAGCTGCTCTTGCTCATGAAGGATCTTTTCTTCCTCGAGGCGTTTCTGGAAGGCCTCCTCGATTAATGGTGCTTCCTCCTGCCGTTTTGCCCTCTCCAAGTGATCCATTGTCTTTGCAAGCTTCGCCAGTTTTTTTTCCATCTCCTGACGCTCCTTCACCTGTTGATTCAACACCACCTCCATGGCGTGTTGTTTTGTCATATCCTGCCATGTGAGCATTCAATTTATTAGAACACCATACACCAAAACTACAATTGTACATGCATGTATCTATGCGTTACAAACTATAAGTGATAAAAACTTAAGCAGTGTGCAGAAACAAATGATCCTGCACTTTAACTACACCACCTGTCATCATCTGCAGCTGACTATCAACCTTTTTTAGGGCACAGAAACAAAAAGTAAAACAACTAATTGAGCTGACAGTACAGAAATATGACCTTTATCAAAATTTTACTCCCTCCGTCCCATAATATAGTGCATCCAGATTTTAGCGCTAAACAGAATTAAGTTACATTCCAAGGAAGTAAGCAAACTATGAAAACATGGCCAGGTAGAATGGAGCTGTACAATTATTGGAAATCCGAAATATTATCTTACCCCCTCAATGTGAATTTTTTTCTTATTCTTCCCCCTTCCTGTTAAATCTTCTATCATTTTTGCTGCTTCCCTCGCCTCTTTTTCCTCTATTTCTTTACGGATCCTCTGCTGCTCCCTAAGTCTCTGTTCCTTCAAAAGCCTCTCCCTTTCTTCATCTGCAGATTTCTTCTGAATAGTCAATCTCTTTGTCTCCTCTATTTTTTCCTGGAAATACAAACGCATAAGCCATCAACAAAGACTCCATAAAACAACTAAGAGGTAGAATGAGCAAATAGAAAACCTTTTCCAATATTTGACGCTCATGGTCTTCTTTACGTTTTTCAATAATTGATTTCCTCGCAAGGAGTCTTCTATGTTCTTTCTCCACCACTCCAGCAAGACTGGTCAAGTTTTCACTAGGTTTGGATGGCTTTTGCACAGGTGGATGAATAAGACTCAATGCTTTGTTCAGGGAATCAGCGAGGACACTAAGGTGGCTACTAAGCACGTCAGATTCTATGTCCTGCAAAGGTAAATATGTCAGATAACAATGAATATATGGGAAGATTGATGTTGCCCGATGTTCTATTTATCTGTAGAGACAAGATGGAAACGGAAAATTAACTGCTGAGAATGTCATATTCCAAATGTTTGTGACAAAATTTCATGGAACAATACACTCAATCAGTCACCACTTGTTGATGCTAAAATAAACAAAGAAACAATCGAGCAAACTTTATATCATTGTTGTGAACAGACTGTAGCTTGACCTATCATTGTTGTGAACAGACTAGCTGCACATATTTCTCATCAACAATCAAGCAAACTTTATATCATTGTCATGGACAAGTGTGCGTGGAACTTTGCTATCCACGTGAATAGAACCATGACTAGGTTTCGAGATCTTATGGGTTTCAACTCTAGCCTACCCCAAATTATTTGGGACTGAAAGGCTTTGTTGTTGTTGTAATATAATTGATAAAAATGAAACCATTCACTATGAATGGTAAGTTCCTAGAAAAGAAATGAAAGGCCAAGGGACAAGCCCCCCCCTTGGCCAAGGAAATGAGTAGGTAAAACAAATAATGTAAAACCGCAAAGCAGACGATGAGGAAATTCAAATAAACAGCATCAGAAAAATAAAGCCTTCAATGAGGACATTGAGAAGTCTAAAGGTCAGAATCAAGCCACATACCATGTTGCCAAAATGAACAGCTCCTGCCAAATGGTTAACTTTCATAGCAACAAAATTGTGCTTGACAGCATCAACAGCGATCTTCTCGACGACATTGAACTCAAAGAATGGGATCATTCTAGATAGCATATCAATTTTCATGGACTGGAAAATATGAGATGCCTGAAATGATTAAAAAAGAGAGTTAAGAAACATGTTTACAGGTAGTAATGTTAAGGTATGATAGAGTGAATACATATTCGCAAAAAAAATGACATGAATGCATATATTATCGCTAGTGGGTCATAGCATAGGACCTGCTGCAGCACCCTCAGTGCAGTAAGCTTCTCCAATGCAGTTTGGTACTGTGATAAACGAATTTCCGGAACTGACGATGCAGCGGAAAGCTTTCCTCCAATCGTAGAAATCTTGGATAGCAGAGGCTGCACTTTTGATGCTAGATCCAGAGGAAGGAACTCATGCTCCATAAGGTTGTATAGATCTTTTACTTCTTGGGAAGCACATGAAATCACACCTTTCGCAGCCTATTTTCATAGCAGTCAGAATGAGTGTGAGTGTGTATGCAAGACAAATTGCATGATGTAGACAGCCAGCTAGTAAAATATCACAAGCAATGCAAGTAAATTCAATCATCACACAAACAGATCAGAACATCAGGGATGCATCAACAGATGTTCTGTTCTGCGTAGACTTGCAAATCTTCATATATTTCAGAGCTACCAAGCTAACTAAAGCGATTGAAGAGATATTAGGTAATTAGAGGTGTGGGAGGTGTGATTAGAAGGAAAAATGACTCTCATGCCATGTAGTACAAGATAAGTGTGTACATCTTAGCAACGCTGCTTGACGAGACAGCGATGCTCACGATGTGGTTATGCATTATTCTGACAGGAAGGCAGAAAAAGCAATTCGCTAAGCGCCTACAATCAAGTGCAGGCATCAGAGGAGATTACTCTCATATATGAATGCTTTGTAACATGTACAAGCAACCGCGTAATAGCAGATTGTGTTCAAGATGCCCATGTGTGGCCATGTCCATGTGATAAAAGAGACGTTAAACAGTTTGGCAGTATATAACATAAAAATAACATCAACCAAAAAGGACCCAAGGCATACCAACTCAGATAGAAGAGTTGCTCTTGAAACCTGAAAAGTGAACAGAAGATTTATCAGAAAACAAATAAATATATTATGGAAAATTATCTTAAACTTGGAGAACAGATGGAAGGCAAACCATTTCTCTATTCTCACGCTTGGAGTCGAGGGAGAAATTGACAAGGTTGGCCATACGCAAGCTACGGTCCTTCTCATTTTCAAGCTCAAGATGAGATGCACCATATTTATGGTCATATGGTGTAACAGAAAGTGCAGCAAGCAAAACAGAAGATGCTAGTAATTGCAGATCCTTCTGAGTTAAATTCTTGTTGTAGCTCTTCTGCAAGTTGAAAAGCTTCAGCCATGCATATGCATGATACAGGTGACTCTCAGATATCCAGAATATTTCAGTCAGCTTGGCATAATATACGACCAGGACAGATGGCTTTGGAGTTCTCTTAACCAAGCTCATCAAGCCATGGATATCCTCCACAGATCGGAAGGCTTCCTGCAAGAAAAAGGCTTGGTGAATTTTATTTCTTTTAGCTTTAAGATAAGATGAGTTGTGAAACAGACCTGCCATAGGGAAAGTTCTGTAGCAATTTTCAGTTGTTCAACCCTGGTATCAAGATACAGCTGACAGCTTTCGGGGGCAGTCAGATCAGGACGATCACGCTGGTCGCGATATTTGTTCAAATTTGCAAGATGGTTTCTAATGATCTCGCACAACCTACGGAACTCGGTGGATCTTTTATACTGCTTACAAAATTGAAAAGCCTTGTGCGCAGTCATCTGCATATTGAAAAGTCAATGGAAGTTCAGCTGGTGAAAAGCATTTAGTAGACAATAATACAAAAGGTAAATAACAGTAGTTACATAATGCATTGGTAAGCTTTGTACAAAAGGAGCCTAAACATTATTACTTCTTACAAATTAGGGAGAGTGCAAAAGAACCAGACAAGTTATCAAGTAAAATAATACTATGTTCATGGAACAAAGTCCATACTACAGGTTTCTTTTCATCAAAGAAAAGAAAAGGGTGCCGATAGAGTGAATTTGTCAAGTATGTGCAGAAGGAATCAAATAGTTCATTTCATAAGAAGTCCAAGCAAAACGACAGAACCAAAAAATATAACTATGTATGAAATGACCACTAGGGTAATGGCAAAGCAGTAGAATAGCTTACAGCATATAGCGCTTCAAGCTTTGAATTATTTCTCAGTATCTCGAGCACCGTCCTGTATGTCTCCCACAGAAACTTGAACCATGGAGTGACAAACTCTCTGTCTGATCTGTCTTTGCCTTTTTCTCCGCTAACATAACTGAGCATCAAGTCCTCCGGACGCTTGTCAGCTTCAAGATCTTCGACATCCAGAGCATCTTCCAGTGCTTGTGCCTGATTCCTGGCTTCCTCAGCTTTCTCATTGGACAGCTGCATAAAGTGTTTTATGACCTCCTCCAAAGATGACACATTGACTTGCTGGCAGACAATTCTGTACTGAATAAGGCCATCTTTGGCAAATCTGCCCTTCCTTAGATCTACGCACAGCTCGACATACTTCATCATGATCTTCTCAAGAGGCTTTTGCCATGATCTGTATCTCTTTGATGTAATGAGATCATGCAGCGCCTGCAGCGCTGCCTGCTTTTGTCCAACATGTATCAACTCTGCAGTAAACCAAAGGTGGTAAACAGTGTGAAAATCTTTTAGTAAAATATGAAAAAAAATGCCCAAGATTTGCATATCAAGAGAAGCACTGTGACTACATTTTAGCGCGAGAAGTGTGTAATTCCCTTGAGACATCCTAATCAGTTCAGATAAAATGAAGCTTAAGGCACAAGTTTGCGGTTGCTGAACTGTGTTACGTTGTGCTTTATTTTATAATCAGTTGTGGAAACATATCCTTGAAACTAGTGATAAGTTGGTTAACCAAATACTAAAGTAGGCAAAAGCTGGTTGGAGGAACTGGATTATCATAATCCACCACAATGTCAAACGCAGCACAAGTCAACAGATATTGGGCTTTTGCATAGCTAAGTGGTCTTAGTGGAAAAGGGAATAAAAATGTACACAACAAAGAGAGCAACTTATCATACACTGAAATTCTCAGAAGCAGGTCAGGAACGTAGGCATAAGCACAAACGCCCAACCAGCCTATGAAATAAGCCAGAAGACCCAACCAAATGGCACATATAAATCCAGTACTTGTGACAGAATCTAGCCTATGCGATATGGACTCGGTGAATCCAAATTAACTCAATTGTTTCAAATGTACCGCTCATGGATTCGTTATACATTTCGTGACCATGTGAGATTGATTGAACTAACAAATGGACCAGACAGTACAGCCCGTCGTCGCCCTAAGTTCCTGTGGGCATCACAGAGATGCCACGGCAACAGAAATCGGAAACCACAGCAGATAAAATTGAGCGGCCGAACTGAGACAAGGTCCCGGTGACTCACCCTCCGCTCTCTTGAGCGCGTTCTCAGGCTTCGCGAAGGTCGCCATGGTCGGGGCGCGGGGTCTCCGGGGGCGATCTACTCCTGCATCCCAGCCACAAACAACAGAGGAAGCCGGATTAGCTCACGGATTCACGGCAAATCAACGGCGAAACATGCATCCAACGCCGGGCTCCGACGAACGGCCGGTCCGATGGGGAAATCCCGGGAAAAAATCGCCGAAAATGACGGAGGAGACACTATATCTGATGAGGTATGGAGGCAGGGGGCGGCGACGGCCGTCGGGGATGGAGAGCGGGGGTACCTGTAGATCGCCGGAGACCGGGGGCGGAGGGCGGCGGAGACGG